ATTAATGATTTACCAGTTGTTTTTATCATTTTATTAGTCTCTTCTGTGACCCTTCAAACATAATGTATGGTTGTAAGTAAGACTTACATTTTTTTATGTAGAAAAATTACTTTGTTTTCCTTTTTCATTGGTAAAATAGTGTTTAAATTGAAGTGAAGGAAGAGCCAATCAGTAGAACTATTCACTGTTGTGTTTTATGATAAATTTCATGCTTAATTTGTAGATACAGCTTTTTTTGTTATTGTTTCTGTTAGCAACTACCAACTTGGAATTGGCACAGACAAAAACTGTAAGCAAGTTAGTTGGCACATCTGACAGTTCATCTAAGACCCAAGATGTTTTTTATGACACTTTTATTGAAGATAATTTCACTTTTGAGGTAGGTTTTATTTTTGTTAAGGGATTGAATTATGTTTTAAGTACCTATTAGTATTTCTTTTAATCCATCTGCCTTGAAGTCATTTATTTTTATCTAGTTTATATTAAGAAGTTATAATTGTATAGTACTTGATAGAAAGTACAGCCCCACTGTATGTAGTCAAAAGCATGTGTCCCAACTTCACTGAAATCCAAATAACTTTTTATGTGGAGTATTTAAACACTCCTTCCATTTTATTGGTTGTAACTGCAGACTGTAAATTTGTGTTCTGGGCTATAAGCTATTTGATTATTTGGGCTTATTAATAACATCTGTTTATTTCATATTATATATAACATATCATGAGAGCTTACAGAACTAGTAAAGCAATTATTAGTGTCACAAATATACTTTGAGTAGAAATTGCATAAGTTAACTTAGCTAACTAATTTTGTCCGGTATTTGTCAAGATCTTTAAAAGCTAGAGTAAATTCTTAAATTGTCCATTAAGACTTTTCTTTTTAACAGTAGTGAAGTTCATAATTTTTTTTTTTAAACTTGAATAGATAATTTCAAAATGATATGATTAACTCTATTCACATAGTAGTTATTCCTCATTGCACCTATGTTTGAGATGTTATGCATGTCACTAGCTGTGAACTATCTCCAACTTAAAACACACATTAAACAGAATTGTGTTATTGCATGAAGTAATTATCATGTGACAATAGCCTTCCACCAATAGGAGAGTGATACATTCCTCATGCACAGTGAATTCTCATAAGCACTTGCACTCAAAATTAACTTCATTCTTATCCTTAGCACTGTCTTTAATGGATGTGTTTCTTTAAGATTAAACTTAATTTTGTGAGATTTGTGCTGTGTTTTTAGTTTTTGTCTTTTCCTTTGTCCTTTTCTTCCTCTACCGACCCTCAGTGTCTTCTGCACTTGAAGGCCACAGTATTGGATCTTTTGGGCATGAGAGCCAATGAGAGGGTTTTTTGTCCCTCTCCAGCCAGCATTCTATCATTGACCTTTCCTCTCAACTACTATCTGGGGGGTTTCTCAGTTCACGATAGAGGTTTTTCTTTCTTTCTGACTATGCCTTTCTATATATTTCAGGTAATGGAAAGTGTTAAACTCATCCATCCTGGCTTCACTTTTGAGATAGAGTTTTCCACAAAACCACTATGGTGGTATATGTTTATATACATTTCATTGTCCATTCCAGACTGTACTTTCCATGGACTATTATAGAAAAAGTATCAAGGAAGTGTCTGCCAATTTCTGTGGTTCATGCATGCTGGCTTTTCAAATTAGGTTTCCCAGTAACCCATTGCACTTTTTCCAGTAAAAGAACTGTGCGCTGATTAGATCTGATTGGGTTTAGACACATCTCTGGTGTCTCCTATTGTAAATTCCCCCTCTCCTTGTCTTCAAGTAGAGCATGTAGGGCTTTTGCCACTCCCAGTTCCTAGCTGCTGGAGTGGTCAACTTGAAGAGTTCCTCATTGGTTATGAAATCCCTCCAGAGAGAGTCCAAGTGGGCAGCACAGTGTGGTGGGAATTATGGCAGGAGTGTCAAATTCAATGTTGTGCAGGTCATCCCCTATTATATTATATACCAATTTCCTGTTAATTTGGCCAACCAGATGGAGGAAAGTGTTCTCCTAACATAACAGGAAGGGACTCTGTCTCCGTTTCTGTATTCAAAATGAGTAAATTGTATTGCAGAACACATACCAAATGGTATGGTCTGATCATTGCCTTAGCCAACTACACCACATGTCCAACCGACCTGTTGTGTGCAAATGTTCAGTCAGTAATGTCTTTTGTGACAATTTTGCCTTCCTCCTTTCATACTTTCATCCAAACAAAGAGTATACACTGCATGAGATGGGTGCAGTCTTCCATGAGTGTTACCTCTCTAGTAAGCCCCTACTACAGGATTTCATACTCCATGGGCTTTCCTCTTCAATCGTTTTCTCAGAGAGCTCATACAGGTTTTTGTAACTGCACTAACCCATCTGCCACATCATTGTGGGATTCTTGCTATTATATGCAGAGAGGTAAGTTCTGGTAGATACTTTCCTCTCTTCATACCTTCCCACCCACTACCAGTGCATATTACACTTGCCTTGTCTAATAATGAAGTTCATTTTGAGTGCAACTACTTATGGGGATCTACTGCACATGAAGGATGTGTTGCCCTCCTATTGGTAGAGAGCTATTGTCACATGACAATTACATCATGCACTATCACACTTCACTTTATAATGTATCTTAGGTGGGAGATAGCTCCAGGTTAGTGACATGCACAAAATATCAAAGGATGAGGTGCAAGATATAGCTACTTTGTGCAGAAAGGTATCTGTTGGAAATACATTTTCAGGTAAGGAAAACATTAACATTTCCTAGCTGTTCATTTGTACCATTTTTTAACCCTACTTCTTTTATGAAATGCTTTCTTTCATGAACATTTTGGAGTAAATTTTAAACTTTAAAGAAATTTAAAACATGTTACTATACAGTAAGTGAGAGACTGTTGAATTTTACTAACTTATGAACAGAATAATCATATGGTGAAGGAACTTATGTAACAATAGAGTACTTTGTGTGTTTATGCAAGTATGTAAAGAATTAAGTGTATGTGTATATATACACCCACACATACAGACTTGCCAACTTTTATGATTTAGGCATATTTGTTCTGAATTTAATTTTTTTATGCCTGTATGAATTGTTACCTTATTTTACAATTTTGTGCAAAATTCCAGAATTTTTTCACCAACCTTTTTTTCTACTAATAATTTTCTGGAAATAATTTGCTGCTTTCCACCTTTCATCTCAATTTTATAAACACTCGAAATAGCCTGTTAAAAAAGCATGTAAATAGTAAGTTTCTAGGGTATGCTGATCATTTTTTGAGAGGAAAATTGTGGAAAACATTGTTCTGCTTCATCCCCAATGACTCCAACAAAGAAAAAAAAGGTTTATAGCAAGCAGAAGTTTAGGCATGAGTATTCAACAAGTTCAGTGATATTGTTTCATCCTCAAAGGGTATGAATTATGCAAGATGTGCAATTTGTGTTTGTGATTTCTCCATTGCTCATGGAGGTGAAAATGACATCAAAACTCATCTCAATGCTACTAAACACCAGCAAAATTTTTCAAGGGCATTTAGAATTAATAAACTAGACTCACTTTTTGTAAAACCTGATACCAAATCAGAAAATGATGTGATCAGAGCAGAATGTTTACTCATCTCCTTCAATGTGGAACACAATCTTCCTTTGGTGGTTTGGGACCATGCTTTAAAAATTTTTACCAAAATGTTTCTGGATTTAGAAATTGCTAAATGTGTACTCTAGAACCAAAACCTCTGCAATAGTTGAAGACATGGCCAGCAGTGCAACTGAACGAGCTATGAGTAACATTAAAACTAGGGCTTTTAACTTGTCCACTGATAGCAGTAATGATGTTGATAATAAACTGTACCTATTGTAGTAACATACTCTTGGTGACAACAAGGAAAAGATAGTAAATGCATTACTTTCTATTCCCAATTTAATTGGAAATCCAACTAGGAAGAATATTGCAGGACTTCTTGAAGAAGAACTAGCCTCAAAGTCCTTTGCTGGGAAACATGTATATCATTCACTGTTGACAATACAAATGTGATGATAGGGATAAAAAAAGAAGTTGCAGGTTACCTTCTGAAACTTAACCCTGAAATGGTGATTAGGGGATGCCCATGTCACCTCCTTCATGTGGCAGCAGAAAAAACAGCAAAGAAGTTGAATATTTTTTTGATGAGATTCTTGTTGACATTTAATACTATCTGGACAAGAGTGCAAATAGGAAAGAAGAACTTAGAGAATTCCAGGATCTATATGATGTAAAGCCTCAAACTATTCTGAAATGTGTGCACATGCTGGATGTCTCTTAGAAAATGCTTACAGAGGTTAATTGAGCAGTGGAAATCTTTGAAGCAGTATTTTGCAACAAAACATGATGAAATGAGAAGAAAATGAAGAAAAACAAAAATCCATGTGAAGGCAAAGTCTATTTCATGCACATTGGAGATATCAGTAGAGAAAGAGAGTGACTGTTTAGAAAAATGCAAAGAAAAACTTCCAAGCAGGGGCAGTTTATCAGTGTGTTTCTTGGGCAAAGATCTGGATCTTTTATGATTGCTCCTCCAAGAAAGTAGCAGACAAAATTGCAAAAGCAAGTGAGAAAGTAAAGGACACACATGCCACCAAATCCCAGAAAACACTTATTTGCAAGAGGAAAGACTTTACAAGCTACTTACATCAAAGATATGTTGTATATGGATTATTTCTGAACAGTTGTATTTAAACTTTTGACAAATATAATTTGAAACTGCAATCTGAGGATCCAAGTATCCATTTTTTGCAGAGAATCCTGTTTGCTTTATTCAAGGATTTGTTAAACACACTTGTTACACCACATGTAATTTCAAATTGTTCAAATATTTTGAATTTGAATTTCAATGATAGAAAATTTCAGTTAAAAAATGAGAACTTGATAATTGGTTATGAAGTTGAGTCTTTGTTTGCAAAGCTTGACAAAGGAAACCAGATATCTTTCTATGAAGATGTAAGAAATTACTATGAAAGAGCATTGGAATATTTGAAGGCCAAATTCCCACTTCAGGACACAACTGTGAAACATGCATAAGTAGCAGACATATCTGTCAGAAAAAGTTCAACTTTTGAATCGATAGAGTTTGATGACGAGGAACCCACTTTGAGGCTAATAATGGTTGGAGACGGCTTGAATGGGTAATGAAGAAAAACTTTAATATAAGTTTAACATAACAGTAAAAAAGTGTGTCTTATACACTGAAAAATAAAGTACTTGTACCTGATGATGACAAAACCTTGTCGAAACGTTGTACATTTGCTGTTATGTTAAACTT